CGGGGGGTCGGCGGCGGCGGCCGGTGGACCGGGGGGTGCTCGGCAGCGAGGGGGACAGGATCTGGCGAGGTGGGATAGCGATCGAGATGGAGGGGGATCGAGATCGAGTGTCCATGAAATTTAAAAATATTCATGATAGTTCAAAAAGTGCCCATGAAATACAATCGAGAAATGAAGGTTGCGATTTAAATACAATCGATCTTAGCTAGCTATCTGTTAACAATCTTCTTGCCCTTCTTTTTCACAAATGGAGTTCTTCTGTGGAACGGACGTCCTTTAGGTAGGGTGGTCCTGCTTCTTCTTGTGGTGTATGCTGCTACTTCATCATCGTCGTCATGTTCGATCCTCGGGTCGCCGTACTTGTCGAAGTCTTGCTCATTGGCTACTCCATCCATTCCGATGATCTTCCTTTTGCCTCTCCTCACGACAACACGACTGGTCTTTGACTGGTCGGTAATGAAGAAGCATTGGTCCACTTGGGAAGCCAGTACCCATGGCTCATTTTTCGCGGTGACGTTTGCGCCCGCGGTCTTGGATTTGGCTTCGGGTATAACCATGGTGGTGAAATACCGGTCTTCTTTTAGGACGCTCTTGGCCCATCTGACACGGAACATCGGGACCTTCTCTCCAGCGTAGCTCAGCTCCCAGATCTCCTCGATCCTTCCGTAGTATTTGTCCTTGTCGTTACCGGTGTAGGATTCCATCGTTACCCCGGAGTTCTGATAACCATCGCTCTTCATGTCCTTGGCCTCGGTGTAGAATGTGTAGCCGTTGATATCGTACGCCTCATAGGTCATCAGGTTGTGCTCGGCGCCCTGTGACAAGGCGAATATGAGTTGTTCTTCCGCGGAAGAATCCTCATGTAAAGGGTACGACAGAAGCTTCTGCTTGAACCAACGCGTGAAACATGAGTTGTGCCCTTTGAGTATATCTCCGTCCGTCCTCTGTTGGCCTCGGTTATTGTACGTCTTCTTAATAAAGGTTTTGTGCTCTACCACCCAAGGATCGACCACGTCTATGTGTTGTAGCGCGACTAGGTTTGCTCTTTCAAAGTCGGCGAGTCGACCGTCGAAGTCGACATGCATTTCGCGGCAACCCTCACGGTGACCCCATCCAGCGAGCCTGCCGAGGTGCCTGTTGACGGGCAGACCAACGGGGTTCTCGATGCCTAGATAATTCGTGCAGTAGGAGATGCACTCTTCGGTCAGAAAGCCCCTGGCTATGCTTCCCTCTGGACGTGACATGTTGCGAACGTATCCTTTGATGACACCATTCATCCTTTCAAACGGCATCATGCTGTGCAGGAACGTCGGCCTGAGTTGGATGATATCCTCCACTATATGGACCAGCAGATGCACCATAACGTCGAAGAATGCGGACAGGAAGTACATCTCAAGCTCGCATAGTATCACCACGATCTCTTCCTGTAGCCTTCTGAGTTGCCTCACGCCAATCGACTTCCGAGAGATGACGTCGAAGAAGTTGCATAGGCCAAATAGCGTTTCACGTACGTGCGCGTCCATGATCCCATGGATTGGAACTGGAAGTATCTACGTCATCAGCACGTGACAGTCGTGAGACTTCATCCCGCTGAACTTCTGCTTCGCTGGGTCTAGGTATCTGCTTATCTTCCCCGCGTAACCGTAAGGAAGTTTTACTCCTAGGAGGCAGGTGAAAAACTGCTCGATCTCCTCTTGACTTAGAGTGAAGCACGCGGGAGGGTACTCATTTCCGGTCTTCTTGGCCTTTTTGCCTTTGCGACGACTTTCTGTGTCCTGCTTCGCCTCATCATCATCATCATCATCATCATCGTCGTCATCATCATCATATATAGCGTGAAGCTCCTGCCTGATGCCCATTGATTTCAAGTCTGCCCTTGCTTTCGGCCCATCTTTGGTCCTCTCTGGCATGTTGAGCAGGGTACCAAGCAGACTCTCGCACACGTTCTTCGTGATATGCATGACATCAAGGCTGTGAGGCACACGGTGGATCTTCCAGTACGGCAAGTCCCAGAAAACAGACCTTGTTTTCCATACCTTCAGCAGCGGCTCTGGCGCCTTTTGCTTCTTTCCCGGCAGTGGGCAGTCTTTCCAATTTTTCAACAGCTTGTCTATTTCCTCGCCGCTCCTCGTACACGGGCGTTTTCGGGGTTCGGTTTCACCATCGAACAGATCCTTGCGTTTCCTCCACGGGTCATCGTCGCGAAGCCACCTTCGATGTCCCATGAACACGGTTTTCGAAGACCCGGGATCTCTATCTAGCCGGCGATACGTTGTGTCATCCATGCACCTTACGCATCCAGAAAATCCGTGGACTACCTGCCCCGCAAGATATCCGTAATCGAGATAGTCGTGCACCGTCGTGAGCAGTGCGGCTCTCATAGGGAAATATTCTTTCTCTGCGGCGTCCCACGTATTGGCTGGCGTTTTCCACAGCGTGTCAATCTCCTCTTTCAGCAGCCCCAGATACAGATTGATGCCCTTCCCTGGTTGTTTCGGCCCTTCAATTAGCATACTCATGTGAATGTACTTCCTCTTCATGCACAACCAGGGGGGAAGGTTGTACATCCACACGAACACAGGCCAGGTGCTATGTGTGCTTCTCTGGCTTCCAAACGGATTGACTCCATCGGTGCTCGCGCCCAGCATGATGTTCCTTGGATCGTTCCCAAATTCTGGGTATTCGAAGTTCAACGCTTGCCACTGGCTCGCATCCTTAGGGTGACTCAGCATCTTGTCTTTTTTATCTATCTCCGGATCATTTGCGTCATCTTCTCGCTTCTTCTCCTCCCTATCCGCGTGCCAACGCAGGAGCTTTGCTACCTTAGGGTCTGCGAAATACCGCTGCAGACGAGGAGTGATCGGAAAGTACCACACCACTTTTCGAGGAGCTTTCTTCCTCTTCTTGTATCGAGTGACACCGCACACCGGACATATGGTAGACTCCGCGTGCTCGTCCTGATAAATGATGCAATTGTTCATGCACACATGGTATTTCACGTGCGGTAAATCCAGAGGACACACGATTTTCTTCGCCTCCTCCAAACTGGTCGGGCACTTGTTCCCCTTGGGAAGACGTTCGTGCCAGAATGACATGTTCTCGTCGAAGCATGCGTCGGTCATTTTATGTTTTACCTTCATCTCCAGAGCCATGAGCGTTACTTTCAGGCGGGTATCCTCGGGCCTGCATCCTTCATACAATGGAGTAACCGCGTCTAACTCAAGTTGATCCATCTTGGCTTTCTCTCGGGCGGCAGCTCTTGCGTTATCCGTCTGCTTGAGAAGCAGCTCTTGAATATGAGGGTCCTGCACCCAGCCCATCGATGGTCCAGCGTCGTCTGCTCCGCCGGCATCATCATCATGTCCTGCATCTTCTACATGATGACTGTGTACAGCATCATCGTCGTGATCATCTCCTGGGGATTCTTCGTCTTCTCGCCCCCCCGAGCCGCGGTGGTTGTCTTGCTGCCCTTCCTCATTTCTTGCCCGGCCCCCATGGACGACTTCGTAGTCATCTTCATCACCTTGCCACCGATAGCCATCCATGAAACCATGCAAGAGCAGGTGGTCCCGCACCTGCCCGGAATCCGGGTCTGCAATAAGGCTATTCAGCTTGCATCTTCGACACGGACATCTTATCTCCGTCTCATTCTTTTGAAGCATCTCGGCCTTCGCGGACCTCAAAAACCTATTCACGATGCCTTCGGTCATCGTGCGGACCATGGTTGCCTGCGGGGTAGAGCAAAACGATATTTTAGAACCAAGAAAAAATTTGGCATGACTTTCCCTAAAAATAGGACCAAAAAGAATGCTTAATGCCAAAATTCTCGCCGAAACGGAAATGAATCAACATTCCGGCAAAATATTGGCAACTATCGCATTTCAAATACCGGTACACCTCCAAACACAAACACATATGCAACACCACAAACATATGCAACACCACGAACATACATAGATCTAGCTAGGCCATAAAAAGTGCATGTGCACATTGTTGTAGGGAGAACAACATAAATATAGCTTCCCCCCTTACTTACCTAGCAAAACAAGGTAACTTAACCACTTAATTTGAATGAATTTATGGTGGAAATGAGGTGAAAAAGAGGAGGCACCCGAGACAAGGAGAAGGCGGTGGAGAGAATGAAGTGGGGAGAAAGTGAGTGTGGGAGGAGAGGCTGTCCAAAATATCTTGTTGCTGCCCACTTACTAATGGCGCACCAGCAACAAATGCGCCATTAGTAATCCAGGTTACTAATGGCGCACCCCCTGGTGGTGCGCCATTAGTACTTTTGCAAAAAAAGGAATAAAAACAATAATAAAAAAATAACATTAGTGGCGCACCTTCTGGCTGGTGCGCCATTACTAGTTACAACTAGTAATGGCGCACCACCAGTGGATGCACCATTAGTATGTTTGGACAGGCGCACTAGTTCAAAAAAAGTTGGTACTAATGGCGCACCGTGGGCAGGGTGCGCCATTAGTAGTTTCAACACTAATGGCGCATCAGAAGGTGGTGCGCCATTAGTATATACTAATGGCGCACCACATGTCTGGTGCGCCATTAGTGTCATTTCCATCTATAGCCCTTTTCCTAGTAGTGCAATATCATATAGTCTTACAACCAAATCAAAATTTATTTGCATCACAAGAAATTATACTCATAGGTTTGCTGGTTGCCAATGTGAGTCCACACATACTCAACCAAGCCATCCTGGAGCTGGACCTGGACATGAGTATGCCAATCACGCAACTTCCGATGAAACTCGACAAACTGTTCAAAGATTGCAGGAGGTGGATGCTCAGGCTCAACATTTTCAGCCTGGAAATCAAACCATTGGTCGCAGATGCTATCATCACGCTCATCCTTCACGATCATGTTGTGCATGATCACACAAGCAGTTATCACCTCCCAAAACTTCTTCGTGCTCCATGTCAATGTAGGGTTGTGAACGATACCCCATCGAGACTGAAGGACGCCGAAAGCACGCTCCGCATCCTTCCTAGCACTCTCTTGCATTTGGGCAAACATTTTTCTCTTCTCTCCTTGCGGATTGGGTATGGTATTTACAAGAGTTGACCATTGAGGAAAGATGCCATCAGCTAGGTAATATTCCTTGTTGTAATGGTGGCCACTGACCTCAAAGTTGACCTCTGGGAAGTGCCCTTCCGCAAGCCTTGCAAACACCGGAGACCGCTGACGAACACTAATATCATTCTAAGAACCAGCCATGCCAAAGAAAGAATGCCATATCCAGAGATCTTGTGAAGCAACAACCTCTAGTATAACAATGGCACCTTTCACATGCCCCTTGTACTGTCCCTACCAAGCGAATGGACATTTCTTCCACTTCAAGTGCATACAATCCATACTGCCAAGCATGCCCGGAAATCCCCTCTCGGCATTGATCACCAACAACCTCTCTGTATCAGGGACAGTTGGCTCTCTTAGGTACTCCGAGCCGAACACTTCCACCAAGGCCGTGCAAAAACTATACAGTGAGAGGAGACATGTGGACTCACTAATACAAACATACTCATCCACAAGATCACCAGGAATTCCATATGCAAGCATGCGGATAGCCGCAATGCATTTTTGGTATGAAGAGAAACCAAGCTTGCCTAGGGCATCCTCTTTGCACTCAAAGTATGGGTCATGCGCGACCACTCGCTTGTGAATAAGATTGAACACATGCCTTCTCATTCGGAATCGGCGACGAAATTGATGTAGCCTAAAGAGTGCACCATCCTTAAAGTAATCGGCACAGAGAACGGTGTGGCCTTTCTCCCTATTGCGGTCCAAGGCCGGAGCATGTCCGGGGATTGATCCCATGTACCAAGGCCGCTTCTTAGTGATGTTTTCATGTACGACCAACGTAGCCGCCAGCTGTTCATCATCCGAGGATGAATCATCCGATGAGAAAATGAAGTTGTGAAAGAAAAACTCATTATCACTATCCATTGTACCTTGTGAGGAATCCGTCGAATGCCTTGAGGCCGTGCTGGGGAAGCGGCCGGATAGTGCACGCCCTGCTCCCCTCGCAGGAAGCAAAGCAAGGTTTTGGGGTCGGTGGCGCTGAAGGGCGCCCTGCGTCGCCGAACGGCCGGCCGGAAGAGGTTGGGGATGACGGGCGACACCGATGGCCGTAGACTGTCTCCCACTGGCAACAAGGAGAACGTCGGCAAAATGCTTTCCGGTAGGCCGGTGCGGGGACAGCTATGGCATGGCGAGGTGGTGGTTGGGGGTGGCAATGCCGGGGCGCGGAGGGAGGTAGAAAAGAATAAAGAGGGGGGTATGTCTCCCCGACGAGAGGGCCAGGGCAGGACAAGCGCACGCGTCGCTCGCGTTCGCGAGTGTCCGTTCGGCTGCAAACTTGGCCCAAACTTGGGCCCGGATTGGGTCGAAAGCGGATAGAAAACGAATGACAGTTCGTTTGTGGCCGCGTGTTGGAAGGCCTGCTTTGTCCGTTTACCACCAAACGAACGTGGGCGAATAGGATGGAGTCACGCGTTGGAGTTGGCCTAAACGCCGGATCTATGCAAATCCTCTAACCAACGCACACCCTCCTCTCCGCCTTAGGCTAGCCCACTTCACATTTTTATTATAGTTCAAAAAAGATGCGACCAACAAGTTTTGATTTTGGCAAATCTGCTAACCGGCGCACACCCTCCTCTCCGCCTTGGGCCAGCCCACTTCACTTTTTTTCTCTATTCTATTAAAGTTCAAAAAAGATGCGCCCAACAAGTTTCAAAATCGAGATCTCTAGGTAACGTACAGACAGAGGCAACCAACAGACTGCGATAGGACTAGTGATGATTTTAGGCATGGCTTTATTCTTAGTTAAAAACGCAGTGGTTTCTCTCTTTCGTTTTTTTCCTTATTTGTTTTGGTCGGGTTTTCTTCTTTTTTCTATTTCTCTTACTTTTTCATTTTCTTTTCTTTTTTAAAATCCGCTAACTTTTCTTCAAAATCGTGAACTTTTCTTAAATTCACAAACTTTTTTTTCAAATTCATGATTTTTTACCTTTCTGCTAAATGCGTGAAGATTTTTCTTCAAATTGGTGGTTTTTTTATTTAAAATTGATGACTTTTCTTCAAGATTGATGAACTTTTTTTGAAATTCTATGAACTTTTTCATATTTGATGAACTTTTGTTTGAAACCAACGAACTTTTCTTTAGATTTGGTGAACTTTGTTTCAAACTCGATGAACTTTCCTCAAATTCAATGTTTTTTTAATTCGATGAAGTTTTTTAGATTCGATGACCTTTTCGCAGAATGGATGAACTTTTTTCGAATCCAATGAACTTTTTTGAAAAAGATGGATGAACTTTTTCCAAATTTGGTAAACTTTTTTCAAATTGATGAACTTTTTCTTTCAAATCGATGAACTTTTTTGAAACATCAATGAACTGTCTTTTTGAAATTCGTAAACTTTTTTCCAAAATTTGATGAACTCTTTTTCATAAAAAAATCAATTTTGCCAAATTGTTTTCAAATAATTCACAAATCTAATAAATAGAGCCGATACATTGGTTCTTAAACTTTTCGCAACCCTAGTAGTCAAGTGACGCTAACCAACTGTAGAGGTTAAGAAAATTTTTCTTGTACTGTGGCGCGAGTTCGAGTCCCTCCGCCTGCCCTTTTCTTGCGTGGTTTTTTCGCAAGACATTTTTCCTTCTACTGCACGAGGCGGGCCGGCCTATGAGGTGTGGCGTGTTCGGACGCTTAAGGCGCCGAACAAATCATTCTGATGAAACAAACCAAAACTTCAGATTGGTTAAAACCAAAACTTCAGACTACATGAGACATTTTTCCTTCTACTGCGCGTGGTGGGCCAGCCTATGAGGTGCGGCGCGTGGACGCCAACTACCTGTTCGGACGCTTAAGGCGCCGAACAAATCATTTCGATGAAACAAACCAAAACTTCATATTAGTTAAAACCAAAACTTCAGACTAGTAGCACTGGAGCTGGGATTCGCTGAGTTTAAGTCAGGTGACTTAGGCCCACATGTTAGTGACTCCTAAGTCACCTGACTTAAAAGTTTGGAAATCTGAACCGGTAGCACTGGCATCTGAATAATTGCAATGCCAACCTTCTAAAGAAGACATTGCCAAAATCATGTTTCCATGGAGATGGGAGCAAATGACTCGGAAAAACAGACAAGAAAGTTCAGAGCCATTTGCCATGAGATGAAGGAAATAATTGAATGAATCTGACTTCTGATGTATACAGGGGGTCTGACGCTAACGCTAAGCTGAGATAATAAAATTACACAATGCAACAAATTTTCTTAAGATTGTCAACTGAACTTAGAAGATACATGGCGCTCCCCGGCAGATTCCCTGGGCGGCGCGGCACGGCGCGCAGGGCCAAGTGGGGAAACAATCAGCGTCACGGTCAACTATCTGACAAATATGTACCGGGAACAAGACCGCATGGGCATCACAGATGATTTTTGTCAAAAAGGTTTACTGTGCTTGTTGTTGTCTCTCTTGAGTTGTACTTTGAGTTTCTTGCCGCCTAGCTGGAAACCGTTCATCATGGCGATGGCCGACTGCGCGGACGCAGGGTTGTCATAGCTTACAAAACCTGCACCAAAGGTTATAATAAACAGATTAAGAGAGATCATGTGAACGATGCACAAGAGAGTGTGTCTGCTAGTGAGAAATTTTATTACCGAAGCATTTGCTGGAACCCGTTGCTTTATCAACAAACACCTTGGCACTTATTACTCTACCGAACCTCTGGAAGGCATCGGACAGTTCCTGGTCACCAAATTCTTGTGGGATATGGTAGATAAATAGATTGGCTCCAGGAGGTCCTGAAACATGTACATAGGTTTTACTACAATGCAACAGACATGATAATAGAAAACCATGTCAAAAGGGTTTTGCATAATACGATATTGATTACTGTAGTTGGTAGAATTAATCAGTACACCGACTGTCAGAGTTGCCAATCAGTGTTAAATATTGACGCTGGATTCTAGTGTACAACTTTGGATAGCCTTATATGCATGTTGCTACCAAATGTAAAGTTTTTCATTTTTGTGAAATGTTACAGGATAGTGTTCACCGCCAATGCACAAGGCATTTGCAGGAAATTGCATGCTAACTAATGGACACAGCTACTATCAGAAGAGTATGGTATTTCCCCTTGCACAATAAGTAAAGATAAGAATAGAATGTGGCTAACCTTCCGTTTGTGTTTGGCCACCGCCATTGCTACGGGGACTATATGCAATAGAATTGACATTTGCACTTGGAACTTTAAGGGGATTGTGAGGACTCCCAAAAGGACGATTGTTCATCGGACCACCAGGGTAGGATCCAGGGTACTGCATACCAGGTACTGCAGGATACGGGCTGCCTAAGTGCATTGGGTTAAATGATCTAGGACCTGAGTTGGGGGACAGTTCAGGGTTGACTCCTCGTATCGAGTTCCCTTGGTTAACAGGCTGACCCATATTCTGAAAGGGGCCTTGATTTTGCATAGGAGATAAAGGGTACTGCATAAGTCCATATGTCCCTGGAGGCTGCGAACAAATAAATCACAGTTGTATTCCATATCAGATCAGTGCATGTAAAAATGTTGATTAGTCAAGACACATATTTCAACATCTTGAAAAGCTCCACACATAATACTTGGGTATCTAAAGTACCAGTAGCTTTTTCAGGAGTAAATCTGACAAATTATGGCAGTTCAAATGAATATTCTTTTTCCAATGCATAAGAAAACACCATCTTTTATGTTTACAGCGACGAAACACTCAGGGCCACAACAGATACATAAGTTTTGAGAAAATTACTTTTGGGGTGCAAATAATACAATTCAGAAAATGGCATATTCTGGACAACAATTTTATAAAGAACAATATAGTGAAAACAAAATGGGACCAGAACAATATAAAGTATTATGTGAAGTTTCCTGTGATATGATAGTGTGTGGTGCAAACAAGGTTTAGAGAACAGCACAACTCACCTGATAACTAAATCCATTATACTGAGGCATATATCCCATCTGTAAAGCTCCAAATACTGAAGATTGTGGCATTGGGCGTCCATTCGGCATATTAGGTGATTGCAGTTGAGCTTTCTGTGCTTTCCGGGCCTGCCTTTCCTTTTCTGTATCAGCCCATTTGACAACCAGTGGCACACTAGAACCCTAACAAATGGATGAGAACATAAGAAATTATATACAAGGCACTAACAATCTGATTTGAGAAGATATCCAAATGATTAATAATGCAACTCCAAGGTAAGAGTAGGCTAAAAAGGCAACAAGTCAGTCATATGTGGAATATACTAGCAATGGCAACCATCAAGTGATCATTCAGGTCAAGTTATGCATTATAGTTAGATACCAAAACATATAACCAACTATCTGAAATATTCAGGAAAAGTAAAAGCTGGGCACCAATTGTATGCACCATGAATCTGGACACAACTGGTTTCAAAACCTAATAGTGATAATATTGTTTATAACTGCCAGGACGAGTGACTGAACGGTTTGTTGTTTGTAATGGCATAGTTCATTGAGAATCATGATATATATACTATACACAATGTTAGAATAAATGCAATAATAAGTAAAAGTTGCCTTGCTATCCTAATTCATTTTAGCAAACCTCTACTTTGTGCTTCCCATTTAGATCCTCAATAGCTGCCACTGCTTGCTCCTTCATTTCATATTTAATGAAGGCGCATCCAGCTGCAACAACCAAAGTTAATTAACAAATATACATTATAGACATTTCAGCATCGAGCGATGTTTATGCTTCTATTAACAGGAAAGTAACTTCTCCGCAATAACTTACCTTTACTTGTTTGCTGTGAACCTCTCAAAATTTGTAAATCCTTGATATTTCCATATTTGGAAAATAAATCAGTCAATTCAGTATCTGCTACATTTTTTGGAAGCATTCCAATGAAAAGCTTGTGTTCTGAAAGTCATAGCAAATGCAAATGTGATGTGTCCTGTTCACTGTCAACAGAAAATAGGGACAAAATATCTTGAGCAAAGACTCTGTACTAAACGACTGCAAATGATGACCATACCCAGCCTCTCCAACTCTCCATCAGCATATTTTACTTGCAAAGGACTTGCCGCCTGTATTACACAGAGAAAGAAAATGTCGTCAGTGAGTCAAGGGAAGCAGCAACAGGCCTACAAAAACTGTACTTTTGGAGTCTTGAAGAGAAAGCCTGTCAACTATTCCCAAATAAGCATCACAAGAGTAGCAATAATACTAAAACAAAATACTAGCCACGTGCATGTGTCTGACTAGCTCCACAAGTCAGTGATTACCAACTACCATAAACTGAAGCATTTCTGCTTTTGTCCACATTAAAATATGGGTCCTTAATTGCCAGGACAGCAATAACAACGCATACTATGATGCCATCATGGTATGCGTTGTATCGCGTATGGTGAACTTTTTCCTTTGATCAGACAATTATGCCACATTACATCATGTTTCAATAATACCCATCTCAGTGGGTGATTAGATACTCAGTGTCTCAATCTCTTTCCTCGTCACTTTATGTGTTTATTTCATGAAAACATCTCAAGAATGGAAGACCATCGACCGCAAATTAGGTCTAGTGCAATGATGAAGATCCTTATGATTCTGAAGAAAGGAAGTCTGGCCCACCACAACAAATGTACATTATCTGCAAATCTTTTTGGGCCAAAGCATGCAAGACATCGACCAAAAGGAACTTTAGTTGCAACTCAAGCTACTTGAGGGCAAAGCATGCACTTTCATGAGATTTTGCATTTAGTCCAAGAGAACCAACTGTTTCATCTGCATAAACATTTTGGCTGTGTTTGATAGGAGCCAGGTCACAACTATCCACACTTGGGAGTTAGGTTTGGCAGGACCTCAGGTAGGTGTGACACAAAACTGAAGCTACAATCAGTTCATGACAAAAGGGCAAGCGTAGTGGCTAAATTGTTGAGCAAACTTTTGTTAGGTGTGCCACTCAGGGACAAGCCTAGTCCTCTGTCTGGTTGGCATCCACAAGTCAAAATTTACCATGGTTCAAATTACTTGCTGTAAAACATGACACACCCACTATTTACACCATCATGTGGTAACTCCAGCAGTCTGGCTCTTGCTGAAGGTTAACTGTAACCTTATTTCTCCTCTAATCAAATACTACATCTTTTCCCTGGTTGGCCCAAATGTTTTGACAATTCCCAAGCTGACAGAAGTTACACATGTTTTTTTTCTCTTAATACCCGATTATGCTTACTTATCAAGATATACAACCTCTAACTACAACCTTAACGAACTATCACACTGCATCAACATCCCACAGATTACAATTCATCACCATCCCACAGGTTACAATTGGCTAATTAGCAATGAAAGGGAACCCCCTTCACTGTTACTCTACTGTCCTCAAGAGTAAAGATCCATGAAGGTTACAAGTATGATTATTTGTATTGCATTGTCTAGCAAGAATGCTCTAGCATGCGTACCTAAGCGCAATAAAAGAAAAAGGGAAATCATTGGAGTTATGATAAATAAAGCAACCCCGGGAAGGGCATGAATTTCACAGGGAACCACCAATTATGACTACATCAGAAATAAAGCCTGACAGCACCACCAATTCTGGAAACATGAATTTCAAGTTTCCACTGTTCAAGTCCTAAAATAGTTAGCGCGACCCATCGGCAGACTAAAAACGGTTATCCTCATAAAATCTGATGGAACCCACAGGTGTTCAATGCAAACAGTTCTAAATTTCAGAATACCCATAAAGTGACTATATTTAATTTTCCCAGAATGCCCCACAAAGATTATAGAGTACACAAACAGCTGAAGACAGCTCCCAGTGCGTCCCTGCCAACCAAATCATGGGACGCTCATGAACCACATCATGATTCGCCACCCGGAAAGAGCTATTTTTTTCGAAAAGGAGGAATACCCCCGGCCTCTGCATCTGGTCGATGCATACGGCCACTTTATTAATTATTAGCACAAAACCTTACAAAGTCGTACAACAGTAAGACCAAAGCCACCATCTTCGCAACCTCTGTCGCTACTCCTATCTAACTGATGAAGGGGCGCTGATGGTCTGGGCCTAATACCAAACAGACCTCGCAGCCAAACCTAACATCTAAGACCTGAGGTCCCAACCTGGACGCCTGTCGGGTATGGGCACCCACCAGTCCGGCGTGCTCCTCAACCAGGCCGCCCGCCGGGTATGAGGCCGCCACAACCACCTACCACATATCCATCTTCAGAGCTGTACTGTTGTAACGGCCTTGCCCGGTCTCGCTGCCGTCGACGCCACCACGACGCCAGACAGCGTCGACCTCCTGCGCGTGACCGTCACCACACATCAAACTCCGAATCTGCACTGCGCCACGCCGTCAAGATCCGTCGCCATCAATGGATGGATGCAGCACCGCTCCACCAAAGAAACCGTCCGCTGGTCCCGCGAAGCAAGGCGCAGCACCAAGTAGAAGGCCGAAGCCACCACGCCACCAGCAGCCCCGCCACCAAGAGCTGTTCCCAGCCGCCGCCTTCAAGAAGGAGCACGACACCAGGGTGCCGTTGACGCCCAGACCAGGGGAACAAAAGCTTTCGCCATAGCTCGAGGAGGAGGCGGAAGGGAGAGGATCCACCCCAAAGCCTTCAGGAAGGGGATCGGCGCCAAAGGCGTCGACTTTGGGGAAGCTGCCGCGCCAGCCAGGGGTTTCCCCCGGAACCTCACCCGCACGCCAGATCCGCCAGGCCGGCCATAGGGGACGCCGAAGCCGCCGCCAAGGACCGATGCCAGCACGGATCGGGACAGATCGAAGCAGGGGCAGATCTTCTACATGGAGCCGAGAACCCGCGCGGCGGCGGCGGTGCACACCGCACCGCAGGGCCGCCTGCCTCCAACCGCCGCTCCCCACCTCCGGCCAGCGCCAGCCCGCGCGCGCCACCGCGACGTGCCGACCCCGGCCATCAGCAGCGCCGCCGCACACCGGGATCTCTCGAGGGCGCGGAGCGCGCCGCGGGAGCGGGAGAGCGCACACCCATCCGCACCTGCACGCATCCACCATCGCAAGGAAGATCCATCACCAGGGACAGCCGCGCGTCCATCCAGCAGTGGATCTCCGCCTCGACCGCCAGGACCCGCGTCCTAGCGCACGCCGACGTGCAACCCGCATCTGTGCCCACCAGATCCAGGCGCCGCCGCGAGAGGAAGCCCCGCCGCCGCCGTCGACCGCACGGGTTTCACCCGGCGGCGTCCTCCGGCGGCGGCGCGACGGCAGGAGGGAGTAAGAGGAGTGGCGGCGCTAGGGTTAGGCTAGGGACGCCCGAGCCGCCCTGGGCAAGGCGACGCGGGGTACTATTGCTGGTGTACCGGATATTCTCACCCGGAAAGAGCTAACGAACCGTACTGAATTTGTAACAATTCCAACTCGGCAGATGGCGTAAAAGCACACTGATAGACAAAGATAGGAATGCTCACATACCCCCGGGAGCGTGTGCTTGTTGTGATACGCATTCACCGCCTTGTCGGCCTCGTCCCTGGAGGGGCATATAAGGAAGCAGCACCCTGCATCAGAAGGTCAGATTATGAGGAAGAAGGATGTAAATGAAGCATCAAGCAACAGAGTAACACTACTGTATCAGGCGGCAGTGCCGCAAAGCTGAAGAAACAAGCGCAAATCTGGCTTGTCAACGTCTGGGGTACCACTACCAGCAAACAACTTCCCTGAAAAGCATGGGAAGGTTCCTAAACTTTGGGCAGCCGCTCCACTAACCACGTGTAGCAGGACAAAAATTACTTATGGTGTATCGCACTTAATTTGGAGCTTGAAAACATACCCCCAAAATATTAAGCAAATGTGGCACATTTGTAGCAGCATTGCTTCCAATCCAAACAGTTTCAAGCCGCAGAAAAAAGCCGCTAGGTAAAAGAAGATAAAAAACAGAACTTCCGAAAAAATTAAACGGCAAAATTTCCAGCGGCATTCAAGCAAATCTAGCAAGCTAAAGGCGACTCCGGCCGAGCAGAGCTCAGATTAGAGCTCGAAACCGCAGCGCCCGGACGATTCGACGCGAGATCTCCCTGGAGCGCGGCAGAGCGAACCCAAAAACGCCACAAATTCGAGGACCTCAGTCCCTCCGGCGGCAGGCATTGCGCCGGAGGGCCGCCGCAAATCACGGGACGGAGGAGGAACAGCCCCGAGAAAAGATTCGAAAACTTTTGGCGCGAGGGAACAGCGCGGAGCGGGAAAGAAAGGCCGAATTCCCCCGGCGGCATTGCGGCGGCCGGGGCGCCAGATCCGGGCGTGCGGTCGGATCCGCGGCGCACGCACCTCGGGAGGCCTTGGTGGCCTTGTCCTTGATGACGGTGACCTCGTCGACGAGGGCCACCTCCTTGAACATGGCGGCGAGCTCCGCCTCCGTCATGTGCTTGGGCACCTGCCCCACGAACAGCTTCACGCTCTGCTCCTCCCGCTCCTGCTCCGCCTCTCCCCCTCCTCCACCCGCAACACCTCCCACCGCAGCAGCCGCCGCCGCCTTCTCGCCGTCCTCCGCCATTGGCCGCCCGCCGGAAGCAACCGCCGCCGCTCTGCTCGCCCCGGCCGCGTGGCTGGCTCGACTCAACTGGCGTCGCCGCTCCGCCGGGGCTAGCAAGGAGTGTATTTTGTTGGTTTGTTTTTTGGGGGCGGGGGCCGGGGGTGGTGGTGGTGGAGGTGATGGAGGGAGGAGTTGGCGTCCGGAGCAATTAATAATTGGCAATGGCAATGGATATGCACGTAGTCTCTCAGATGTGCAGGCGTAGGGAGTTGTTGCAGTTGTAGCCAGCGGCAGTGTGACTATGATATTGATGCGAGTGGGGAGGGAGAGAGCAGTTGGGTTTCTGTGGGAGGAGGGGGCCGCTGTCCTTGTGATCCCCTTTGTTTTGCTATATACAACGGTTTTCTTGCACCTTCCTTCTCTTTCCCTGGTTCCAAAATTTGTTGGGAAATTTTGTTTTCTTTCCATTTCCTTTTTTATATTTGTGAGTGTGTGAAGAGAGCGCCAGCCACCAGGCTCTGTATAAAATAGATCTAAAAAATACAACATACCCCTGGAAAAAAAACAGATGGTCACGTGCGCCCTGACGAGCCGATGGCGCGCCGCTCTGATGGTGCTGAGGCCGGCCAAGCCTTGTATCTAGCGGCCAGGAAGTCGTCGAGGTTACGTTTCCGGAACGCCCCCGAGGGGAAGGCGTCACTACGACAGTTGGTGCGGTAGAGGAATACGTATGTTGGATTGTTTTTTGTGCGACGGCTTTTATTGCAACATTGTCGTTAATCCAGAGTTGTTTTTAAATTTTCGTCGCCTAGGATTGTAAGCCTGAAATTCGATCATAGAAAACTACAGCCATTATCCCGAGGTGGGATCCCCGTGTCTTCTGTATCTGGGATGAGCTGGCCGCGCGTCGTGCAAGCCGGACAACTCTTATATCTAGGGGCTGGAAAGTCGTTCAAACTTCGGTCCAAAACACACCAAAAAAGAAGGCATCGTCACGATGTTTCATCTAGTAGATAAAGACATATATCGGATTGCTTTTAATGTGATGATTTTTACTGTAACAGTCTTGTTAATCCACCCCCTACTGATTTGGAAATTTTGTAAGCCTAAAATGTTGCTACACTCCCTTAAGAAGGTTACATGTCAAGCGAGGACATGCACATAAACCGTCTCATCTTGGTCCAGAAGTTTGGTAAGATGCCTGAGATTTTTGTGAGCACATTTTGAAAAATAATTAGATTTTATGATTTCCTATATATTTTAACCTTTTGATTAGAGTTACAGATGGCACTCTTTTGCTTGTTAATATCTTGTACTTAGGATTATGTGATAGCTTCTTATGTCTTTATCACTGGAGAAGATAACGATCAACTCCGTGGTGACAATAAAAAACTAACGTGGTGACAAAGTTAGGTTTGGATGACTAGTTACGCGTGCTGGACTTGACTAACAGTCTAAACAGGATAGTGCAAATCAAATCAACCTACGAACAGTGGATTTTCTTTTAGGTTTTCACCCTTTGCATGGCATAGAGTAATGATGCATTTCTCATTTCCGTGCACGTCATAGACCATAATACTCATTCTGAGGTAATTACCATTTTTATGAAGTTATATAGGTAATTGCTTTGGTTTCTAAACCAGTTATTAATGTTTTAACTAAGAAAAAAGATAATTGCCAGATAATCTGTGCCTGTTTCTGTGTGTCTCCTGTATGACTTGACATTTTATGCAATTATCTGGGCAGTTATCTGCATTCACTTTGCCACATACGACCACCCCCATCATCCCTCCCCCTAATCCCCGCCGTCCACAACAACAACATCGTGGTTAGCACTGACTTTCTGCCACATACGACCCCCCCACCCCGCGCACGTGCCGCACACAACAACGTCATCATCATTACTCCTCCACAAACGAGATTGCTCTGACTTTGCCACAAACGACCAACTTCCCACCGCGCGCAACAAATGTGTAAAGCCACAACAACACCATCATCGTCACTCCTCCACAAGTGTGACTGTTCTGACTTTGCCGCATACGACCAACCCCTCGCCGCACGCAACAAATGTTTAAAGTCACAACAACGTCATTGTTATTACTCATTCACAAGTGAAACTGCTTTGACTTTTTCGCACACAACCAAACCCTCCTCCGTGTGCAACAAATGTGTGAAGCCAGAACAACGCCATTAGCATTACTCCTCCACAACCGAGGTTGCTCTGCTTTGGCACAAATGACCCTCCCCCCTCCCCCACACGATGTGCGTAACAAATGTGTGTGAAGCAACAATAATGTAATTGTCAATACTCCTCTACAAGCGACGTTGCTCTAATGTCACACTGACGACCACCAGTGACCCCCTCCCCAAGGCGATGCGCAACAAATGTGTGAAGGCACAATAATGTCATCATCATTGCTCCTACAAAAGTGAGGCTGCTTTGACTTCGCATCCATGACCACCGGTAACTCTCCCCCTAGGGGGAAGGGGGGGGATGGGCGTGCCGCACGCAACAAATGTGTAAAGCCACAGTAGCACCATTGTCATTATTAGTCCTCCACCAAAAGAGAAGCTCGGCCTTAATCAGAAACGACCACCGATGACGCCCTTCCTCCAACGGATGTGTGAAGCCACTCAAAATCCGCACAACCAGACGACACCGACCCCAAGGGTAATTACGTATCATGGAGAGGTAGTCAATAATAGAAAGGTTCGCTCCTCGCTCGACCACGCTACGATAAAATATAACTAAAAACCTGGTGCCATCTGTTGGAATGAATTTGATTTTTTTGTTAAACAATGGCCCCTACCAATGAACTTCCCAACACCATGAGGCACCAAGGAATGACGGAGACAAGGACATAAATGGATCCATAGACAAACTGAAACTTCCATTGCGAGTCCTTCCCGAAGAAAGTTGTCGTGTGGGCTCTCATATTTTAACTTCCAAAGCAGATGAAAAACTTGCTTAATTAGATTTGTGGAACCTCTGCATATATAAACTGTGTGGAATTAGAACCCAGGTTTTGCTCAGTTATCCACAGAAACACTACACGTCAAACATGTGCAGCTTCACATGGGTAAGAAGATGTCGATCATGTGGTATCACCTCCAAAAGAAAAAGGAACCAAATTAACATTTGGGGCTATGCTTGCTAGGCTCTTGATCTGATTTTAATAATGGCACATAGGATGTGTCCGAATGATTTGAGGCACTCTGCTACATGGTACATACCTACTTACTTTTTAGAAACTAAGGCCCTGTTTGGAATCTCTCTGCTCTGCTCCACTCCACGGAGCTGCGGAGCTCGGCTTGAGAAGCTCCATAAAAAACTGCAGTAGCCTGCTCCACTCCGGGAGCTGAGTCACGGGAGCGGAGAGAAACCGAACAGACTCTAATTATCATGGATGAAGATCAATTTACATAAGGATCAATTCACGTGCTGACAGAATTAGGTTTGGATGACTAATTATGTGGTGGGCTTGACTAACACAAGTTAGTGGAGATTATATCAACCTACGAACACTTGAAAAAATAACATGTTTTCACCCTTTGCATGGCAGACTTTTTTTTTCTGTATGCCACAGACTAACGATGATACATCTCCCATTTCCACGGATGTCATATCTAGACAATAATACTTATTATGTCGACTTATTCATACAAGTAATTACATTTTCTATGAAGGTATAAAGGTAATTGCTTACTTTTTGGATCGCACAAAAAAACTTATTTCTTGGAAACCAATTATCATTGTATTATTTTTTGGAATTATTGGGCTTTTAGGCCATTTCTTATTTTCAGTCATTCTTGAAAATCTTAGAGGCCCATTTACTCGCACTAGTAGAAAAAGGCCCATTTGTCCCGGTTCCAAAGGCCCATTTGTTCCGATTCTGGAACTGGGACTAAAGGGTCAGGACTAAAGCCCAACACATTTAGTGCCGGTTCGCTTATGAACCGAGACAGATGATGCTCCACGTGGCCGCTGCGGCGAGCCCAGGCAGAAGGGCCTTTGGCCAACCGGGACCAAAAAGTATCCACGCGTCAGCAGCTCAGGAACTGGGTTTTTTGTTTTTTTTAAGGGGGGGGGGGGTTGGTGGGTTAATTTAGGGGTTTCATATATTGTGTTAGCTAGCTAATACAGAGAAGTGACCTCTCTTATCTCCCTGCTTGGTCGACGCTACGTACTATACGTATAGAGAGAACTGCGACACGCTAGCTAGTAAGCAGATGAAGGAAACCCTTAAGTACACAAGATCGTCATGAACATATACAGAGAGAAGTGATCGACCTCTCCTTCTCCGAGAGATTGGTCGAACAACAAGTTTTCGTATATCTATCCGACGCTACTAGCTACATATATACAATATAAGATCTCTTACAATCCCTAACATCTGAAGTCAAGTGCCACATGGTATTCTCCGGCTGGATTGATGACGTGGTCAAGAAAGAATCCCGCCAATTCCTCTTGAATTGCTCGTATGCGATCATGTGGTAGGAGTTTATCCCGCATCTGCTAGATCTAAATTGAAGAAGAGGGTCAATACATGTGTATGAATGAAACTCAACACAAATGATGGTAATAAAATAAAATAGTGAATAATTTTGCTCACGCGTTTCATATTGTTTTTCAGAGTAGCCCCGCTTATTAGAGGCCGTCATGTTGTAGATGAACTCGCAAACGTAGTATCCACAGAAATCATTCCCGGCTTCCTGCCACAAGAACTTTACGAGAAATAGGGGTCAATCAAACTGATAAGCAAGCATGCAAATGGTATTGATGAAACTAGCTAGAATCAATGGGAGATGCGCGGAACTAGATAGTAGTACTTACTTTCGGGTGTTTAAATCGCAGCTCGGTCGGC